GGGATAGATAGATAGATAGATAGATAGATAGATAGATAGATAGATAGATAGATAGATAGATAGATAGATAGATAGATAGATAGATAGATAGTGAATGTGTGGGGGGAGAGAAAGAAAGAGAGTAATCTCATACCCCGACAAGTCACCATCGTACCGTAACGAACAAATTTGAATGAAAAGGTAATAACCAAAATACCACATCAGCAGATTTAGTGTGACGAATTAACACTAACACTTATGAACTGAAATTTGATACAGGACAACGCGGGGGTCACTATTTCAGAGGCATCGTAGTGAAATCAGGCTCGTGTCAAAATATTGAAATCAAAGAAACTGGTAGGCCTATTTTACTGGCTGATCGTCAATTATTTTTCTTTTCTTTTCTCAATGCCTTGCGTATCCATTCAAAAAGATTAAAATATGTGGATTTTACTAGGAAAACGTTGATCAAATTCACACAAAATATTGATTTTTTTAATTTCCAAGGACACTCAAACTTAGGAAACCATCCAACTGGCGGCCATTTTCTCGCTAGTTTTACCCCTGATACTAGGCGATCCCATCTTTCGAATTCTATTCAAAATAAATGAGTGTTCATTGGTTGGGGGGGGGGGGGCATCAAAAACAAGTGAAATAAACAAGATTTACGATGATAGCGATAACTCCATGTTATGCAAAGAAAAAATTGACAAGCGCCTGATTCCACTGAGTCATGACACACAGAAAGAGTTAGAATCAGAGAGAGTGGGGAATTTTAATTCAACTCCATGTACTAGTATCAGAGAGGGTGGTAAAATTTAATTCAACAATTTATATTCTGCTCATAAAGAACACTCGCAGGTCTAGATCTAATGCAGTCAGCGGTGACAAAAATTATTCGTTTGATTGCAAATGCGTCAAACAAGCTGCCACAACTAGATCTAAATCTATGCCTGGATTTTTCATGTTGATATCAAACTCCTGAATAAAAATGTCGATCTTTAAAATTAGGGTTAGGGTTTGGGTTAGGGATAGGGTTTGGGTTAGCGTTAGGGCTAAGGTTAAGGTTAGCGTTAGGGCTACAGTTAAGATTAGGGTTAGGGCTAGGGTTAAGGTTAGAGTTTATAAGCGTTACGTTAGGGTTAGTGTAAAGATTAGGGTTAGCATTAGGGTTAGTAATCAATAATATGCTCTTTCTTTACGTTCAATTTCTGAGGCTGCTTTTGGTCGCTTTCGAGAAAAATCTGTTCAATTCCGACTTTCTTAAGAACTTTAGAAACACATGTTCTAACGACCAGTTGTGCAAAACTATCACCTGTACAAAATTTAAAGGCCAGTTATCGCGTCTTCCCCCGGACGTTTTCTGTCTAGCCTATACCAATATTATAATGGCACTAAGAGGACCACCTTTATAAGGAGTCCACATCTCTCTTCGACAACGGTCGGCCGTCTTTCGCAATTTTGACTCTACGTGATTTTAAAAATGAATAACAGAACATATTTGGAGGGACTAGTCCATTTAAGTAAGAGAGTGGTAGAAAAATGAAAATAAGAAATTCTCATTACCTCAGATAAAGGTACAGGTATTACAGTGTGGGTTTTGGGGTGGAGTAGAAGGCGTTGAGAAAGTAAAGGGTTTACGTGACATTCTACTAAAGATAGAATATAAGTAGTATAATTATGACTATGTCAGGAGAGATTACATAATACAGCATTTTCCTGAAATGACTGGATGGCCTGTTATAATAAATGTCACCTAACCAGCGAGCCTCGAAAGCCTATAACTATAACATTAAGTACTCAGGCTATAAAGGAAGAGGTAGACCACGCAAAATAAGGACTGAGAGAGTTTTAAAAAACCCTGAAAAATTATATCCCAACTGAGAGAGCGGCAGAGCTGCCCTACCACCAAAAAAAAAAATGCATCTCCCCTCGACGCTTAACGGCAACAGAGGTGGAAAAAGTGAAAAGTGTCAAGTGACTGGATGGCTTTAAATCAGATTTATGACCGTTGTAAATGTTACCGAAATTAAGTCCAGCTGTTTGGGGGGTTTGTTTTGTTTTGTTTTGTATACTTTATTTTTTCTATTTTGTGAATGATAAGTTTTGTATTCAAAAACACTGCACGCCAGTCAGAGTTTTCTATTCTTGTCAAATCTGACACAACAAGGGTGCACTGAAGCAGCCGTTGACCCGACCCGACAAGATCCGACCCGATCCCACCTGCAGTAGCACCCTTTGTAAGGTGACTTACATCCTATATTTTTGTCTCCAATTTCGGTGCAGAGTCAGAATGGATGATACATGTACATACAAACACACACACGCTTTCTCTCTCTCTCTCTCTCTCTCTCTCTCTCTCTCTCTCTCTCCCTCTCTCTCTCTCTCTCTCTCTCCCTCTCTCTCTCCCTCTCTCTCTCTCTCTCTCTCTCTCTCTCTCTCTCTCACACACACACACACACACACACACACACACACACACACACACTCCTACAACCTCCGCTGTTTCACCAACACCACAACACCATCATACTGCAACAGTTATGGCCCATTCACGTGCGCTATAATCAAGCGCCGAGTGCACCACATGTCGACTGAGAAATGTTGAATTTTAATCGCTGTACCACGCTTTAATTAATTGGGCATGGTCATAAATAAATTATGAACTTCGTTTGCTTTGCGGGGAATCGGAAGGTTCCAAATGTTAACCCTTCGTGGTGTAGAAAATATTAGTTTTCAAATATTATGTAGCAAGTGTATAAGTTAGTTTTTTGTGGTCTTTTGGGTTTTTTAAAACCGCTATCAATAGATCTACATGTACTATTAAAAGGCAGGGCCTTCAAATTCTACGTCCGTCTCCTATAGGGTCGAGTCAAATGGGTTGAGGGCCTTGAAACCTCAAAAAAGAAAGTCCAGTTTGGAATTCGAATCAATGCCATCTGCTCCGAAGCCCAACTGTGAAAACGGGGAGCCCTTTTGAAAAATGATAGCATCATAAAACCGAGAGAGAGAGAGAGAGAGAGAGAGAGAGAGAGAGAGAGAGAGAGAGAGAGAGAGAGAGAGAGATTTACATACACGGACGCACACACAAAAGTACATGTACGAGGGCTGTCCCACGGCAAACCGGAATTTGGCTGTAATTTGAAAACTATTTAATATTTTCACATTCTATAAACGCACACTTGTAAAACAATCATTTAGGAATTTCCCGATTGAGCACCATGAGCATTGAACAAACCAAACGAACACAGCAGTTCTCCAAAGATGGCTACCCCTTTGGGGAATTGGTCAAAGGGTAGAAGTGAGGTCTGTCATTCGGTTTCTGACCGATAAGTGTGTCTCAAACCTATAAAAATACTCATTGAAATAAAGAGAGTTTACGAGAAGAAAGTAATGGCAAAGTCACAGGTATATGAGTGGTGTAGTAAGTTCAGAGCCGGGCATACGGATGTCAATGACAAAGTTCACCCAAGACCTTATTT